AACAATTCCGCTGAATGAAACCACTACGCTACGGCCGATATGCGCTTGGAACATTTATCAGCAGTATTAGCCATGGTCCCTAATACAAATCAATAAGTCAATAAACCCTGTCTCATTTCGATGGGGCACTTCCTGTCTGATTTGACATCAGAACTTTCCGACTAATATAAACAATATATCCGATTAAAGAGAGTTATCCCGAAATAGCAGATAAAAGGCGGCCAGTTTCGGTTAAGTTAACACGTACCACCCTCATGAGAATACGAGATTACAAATTAAGCGCAGCGATGCAAGGCATAGCTTTTCGTTTTGGATGTGGCGAAACTACGTGATGAGGAGGCGTCATTGAATGAATTAAATTAGAGACAGTATTCAATCAATAATCAATAATCAATAATCAATATAAGTGCTACGTGCACATTGCCGGTTATTGTGTTTTCGAATTATTCAATTGAAATATTATTTTATAATGTACAATTTTATATAGTAATCACCCAAGAAAACCTATGAAGGCTTACATATTTTTTTTATTAATTTATGGAACGTATTACTAAATGGAATTTAAACTACCGTACCGTAATTTTGAAATTTAAAATTTTTAAAAGCTCATCGTCTGAAGAGAAGAATTAGATTTTTTTTCAATTTTGAAATTGTTTGAAAAAATTAAATATTGAAAAAATTGCTTTTTTACTAATACTAATATTTTATGAAAACTTTGAATTTTTTTGAAACTAATTTTTTTTTTTTTTTTTTTTTTTGAAAATTTTGAAATGTTCTGAGACACATTCAAATCGATTAATTCAAATTGCAAAATATCTGATTTTCGACCGCCAAATGGCATTTTTGAAAACCCTTTTTTTCTGGATCTCCAAAATCGCTGGATCTTAATCAATTCTTCATGACATCAATACAAGTTGAATGTTTGTTGAATGATTCAAATCGGATGCTCCGTTCTCCATTTTCTGCAATTTTTGCTCCGTATCTCCGAAACGGCTAGACCAACTTTTGCCAAAAACTAATCAGCACGTCTCCTTAGCAATAGGAATCGAATGCTTTTTGAATAATTCAAATCGGTTAATGGCCCAAAAATGTCGACGCAAAATTGTATCCATGCATACATAAAAACACACACACATCCATTTTTGCTAATTGTAAGGTACGCCAAAATGTTCAGAAACCTCAAAAACGTAAAGATATGCAAAAATTTTCATTTTCGATTTTTGAACGATTACTATAACTTACCATACAAAAATTAAAAATTATTGCTCTTTGTTCTATTATTTAAAAGTTAAAAATATTATTGTTCTTGGAAAAATTTTACAAATAAAACCTACAACATGATTTCTTTTACTTATAAAATGAATTTCAAATTATAGATATTACTAATATATTTACTCATATTTAAAAAATATGGTTCAAACATTGGTTCATGCTCCGTAACGTTTGTAGACACGTGCTCTACAGGAAAATCAGTCATTGAATATATTTAATGCCTTTATATTCTGTCCCTGATCGCGTCTTAAATTTCTGCAAAAGTACTTGCACACCTCATTAAATACTAAAAACGCATTTTTTAAAGCTTAGTGACAAACGATCGCTGTGTTCAAATAAAAATGTTTTGAAACATTTAGAAGACTACAAAATGAAATTTCCTTTAATTTTGATTAAAATACCATTGATTGTCAAAGGTTTAATACGTTTGAGCGATCTTCAGGAATATGCAATTCGGATCATTTCACGCACTGGTTGTCTTCCCAGAATGATTGATTTCGTCTGACAGATAAAGTATTTCCTGGTCTATAGATTATTTGTACATGGATACTAACGAGAGAACACAGTGCGAGGTACACGCGCGCACGCACTCGGAACTACAAGAGAACAGCATCAAACATTATAAAAATCGACAGGCTAAGGGTGTCGTCAGACCAGAGAGAGGTTAATAGATAAGACTACTATCATTAAGAAGATATCTCAAGGGATAATTGGACAGTGCTATATATAAAAATCAATCTTCACTTCCGCTAGCTTATTATCTATTTTGGTAGGTCATTTACTATATAATTGAAAATTAAATATAGGGGCCGATTCCATTGCAATCATATGGCATTTTGACAGTGTTTAGTACCATTTTGTATGAGACGTAACATGGGTTGTTTGCCGGCAGAATCGGTCATAAAATAGAAAAGTTTAATATCATTTAGTGTAAGACATAGAACAGGTACGTCTGGACGAAAACCAACGTAATATCAATAATGAATATTTTTCAATTTTGAGGAAATATGACAGATGTTTTATTAGTGCGAACAAAAAATTGTTTAAAATATATTTCATACTTAACTATTTTCCTATTAAATGTTTATTATTTTCATGAAAGTACTTGTAATTGTTCTTCAATAAACATATTACTTGATCATGAATAATATTATTAAAAATATTATCTTCTCATGTTAAGTTAAAAAAACAATTTCTAATATACCATTTATATAAAATATACTTGAAATATTATGCAAATTACTCAAAATTGAACGTTATTTAAATTACTAAAACTTATTTTAAATATACAAATGAAAATTAATAAAAGAAATAAAAATAAAGATGATGTATATGAATATATGTAATAAATTTTATATTTACTCACGAGCAGTAATACAAACTATTCCGGAAAGTAAAAGTTTATACATATATGCACATACAATGATATTCCTTTATCAAAATGACACAGAACTTTTTAAAACTTTAGTTCCGCGATTTAAAATGAGCTTCCTCTAAATCGAGATTTGATTTAGAGATAGACGGTCACTTCGGACATTTGTATTAACAGCTTTCTTTGGCTGCTGAGAAAACACTATACGCGCCAGAGTTTTGATGTAGTTTTACTTCAAAAGTGGATGAAAATTGATGTTATTTTGAAAGAAGCGATTCTTTTATTTTAGACATACAGGGACTCTCTACTACTTCGTTGCATAGTTTGCTTTATATCGCCATATAAAATTCATATAATATATCTAGAGAAACTTTTAAAATGTTTAAAAGTAATTTTGCAAGACTTAATTCATAAAATATATTCAAGCGCAAAAAAAGATTATGCACTGAGGCTTCATACTAATTCAAGCAAATTTGACTTATTTTTTTAAACCATTGAATTAGCAAATGCAATTGTTCTTATCGCATCATAAAAGACAAGTATGAAGGATTACATTAATCGAACCAAAAAGGGATATCGCCCGTAAGATTACGAGTGTAATAAACTACATATTTCATTCCCTATTCCCTACAGACAATTCTGAATTTGATAGCAGATATTTCCAATGCATTATCCCCATGAAAAAAATTGGATGATCTTGATCTAAATAATTTTCCATATTAGGAATTGAGAAAATTTTAAAATGTTCGCACACCCTTGATAATATATATATATATATATTATATATACGAGTATATATCATTGCATACTATAAATAATAAATCACAAAACTAAATATATGGTTCTCTCCATAATACCGTGATCCTAAGTCAATAAATTCGGGCAGAGTTCATAAATAAATATATGCAGTAAACAAACACATACACAGTAAACACATTTACAGCACGACGGACACTCGTTACATGTATGTATTTTTGTTTTCAATTCCCATTCAATGAGTCCGCAGTGTCACAAATTGAAGGCAATCAAATTTATTTAATATGCTTAGATAAAGCCAATATAAATATTTGAATCGTTCAATTATATTTACACAGTTAAACAAATTATAAAAATAGCGGTACACGACATCATGTCTTAAGGCAAATTACTGAAACTTTAAATTTTTTGTAACTTTGAAAAAAATTCATTTTGAAATTAAAAAATTGAAATATTTTTTTATACGACTTTTTTTAAAAAACATTTTTGCAAAGAAATCGCGCTGAGTTAGCTGTAAAGACAAAACATCGAAGCGCGTAAGCGCCGCGTTGCAGTCTAACGAATGAATATTAGTACGGTATTGTTACCAATAGAAATGTAAAAAAAAATGTAATTATTATTGAAATCTCTATAAAATATCTGATAATTTGATATGCACATGTCTAATGATGATTTTCGACCGCTAAATGGCACTTTTTTCATTTTTGTATTAGATACGAAACCGATAAACACGCCTCATCAAAAATTTAATCAGTTCTTCATTTCATCAATACAAATAAAATATTTTTTTAATAATTAAAATTGGGCGCTCCGTTCTCTCAAAAACTAAATTGCCTATTTCGGCACTTTTTGTCGCGTATCTTCGAAATGACTGGACCTGACTTTGCCAAAAACTAATCAGTACGTCTATACCCATCAATACGAAGCGAATGTTTTTCGAATTATTCAAATTGGTTGAACCGTGTTTCTTGAAATCGTCGACAAAAATTTGTATCCGCACATACATACACACACACATACATCCATTTCAGAAACCTTTGAAACGTAAAGATATATAAAAATTCATTCTCAAATGTTTTGCGATTACTGTAACTTATACTACGAGAAGTTAAATATTCACTACATAGGTGTAATTGCCAATCTAAGTAATATTATTGTAATATCTTTAAAGGTAAAAAGTCTTTTAAATGTATAGTACCACCTCATTAGTAGTTACTATTATTGTTACCTCGATACTGCAATATATATTACATGAACATTTATCTAGTATCAATAACAGTTTTAAAGAAACAATAAAATAATTTTGTTAACAAGTGCGATCTTTCACAATCGTATGTTAAATGCAACGCAACTGACAAAATAAAATTTCTTATTAAATGTTTGCTATACAAAATAGTATACTAGATACTTTCATTATTCGCCTCTTTTGCGCATTTCTATTTTATTTTGCAAAATTTTTACAGTAATATTGTAGATTTTCATAACCTATTCCAATGAAATGTACATATTAATTTTTATAAAATGCAAGAGCATTTCGAGGAAATCATAGTTCGGCCGACAGAAAAATAGCAATTAGATAAATTAGCGAAGTAATTCTTACCACTGTTGGGTGAAAAATTCATAGGTTTCCCCGCGTGAGTCTGTCGTCGCTGTTGCATGAAGATCGGCTTCGACGATTCGTTCGCTGAAGACGATCGATTGCGGCTTTTCGGGCCAAGATCGTCTTTGGCCTTCATATTTTTCATCGCCCTGGAAATAATAAAAACATTTTGATTATCAGATGATTTTCGTGTATGACTCAGCTTAATTGTTTTTAGTTAATAAATATTTTATTCCTGAAAAAGTAGCAGAACTTTGCTAACAGCTCTAGTTTTTGAGATATACCAGTGTGCTCGTTTTATCACAAATCACTATAAAAAATAACACATATTTTATTTTATGCCATCAAAGGTTTTCTTATATGATTGTCGAGTGTAAACAAGGTCTGACTGATGTCGTCGTAAGCTCTAACAACTGCCAGCCACAAGTCTAAAGACTGACTCTTCTATGGTTATGGTCTAACATGTCAAAGATTTTCAAAAACCCTTCTAAATAGAGGTAATGAATGCCGATGCTCATGTGGCATTCTAAATCTTTGAAACTGGATAGCATGCTTTCGATAAGCTCAATAATGTTACTGAATTTGTTGTTTTCTAAAAAAAATGTTATGTATAATTCACGAACCGTGGATTTTTTATGAATTGCCTGTATATTTTCGTCTGCTTTCTCATCTAACCTTAGTCTTTCAATCCATTACATAGGCAGAAAATGTTGATGTTCTAAGATCTAAGTTGTTCATCATTAGCATGAATAGGGGTCGTGTAACTGATCGTAAATCGTAGACCCCAAGATCACTGGAGTTGTGGATTATGATCATTTTCTTCTATTGCCTATATTTATTCTATTGATATTCGCCATACTGAATAAACAGTCGCCATACTGAATAAACAGTCTGTGGTTTTGAAATTATAGCATATCTTTTTGCTTTTGGAAATTAACGTAAACACTCTACGCAATTTTAGCAATTAGTATGAAAAACTCAACTTATCTTGATTGTGCTATCCTATTTTGAAGTGGTTGAAATACGCTATCTTTACGCAGTTTGATAAAGATTTTTGGTATTTGTCAAAAACATATTCACCACAGATGTGACAAAAACTTTTTGGATTATGCACACTACGTTTTAGAATCGAAGAATGCCTAAATAGTAGACAAAACTCTTAGTTATTCGTTATACTGAAATAATCATAGCCGAAATGACTAATGGGGGTAGTTCCCTAAAACTCAAAAAAGAAGTTGTTAAGGAAAAACGTATATATCTAAGTAGATTTGAAAAAAAGTTTTTTTTAGAGAAGTTAAAAAATATATGTATACTACATCATTTGTACTATATCATACATATTAAATCATACATACAACATACAATATATCTATACTGCATTATTTTCATATAATGTAATTAGTTATTAATTAGTTTTGCTGTTTTTTACTGAACCAATCTACATTGCTCTTAACAAAATTTGTTTTTAGGGGCCGCCCATTAATCATGCGATCATTTTACAAGCATTTTATAACTACCCTCCCCCATTCAACATTACTTGTATTTTTAGTACTTACAAAAATCGCATTTTTTTGGAAATCTAAGTAAAAAATAAATACACGTAATGTTTTACTAGATCCCCTCCTCTCCCACGTGATAATTCTATTTTTTTTATAAACCCCTCACCCTTTCAAACCCCACATAATTAATGAACATTCCCTTACTACAATCTGATTTCCATTCGCGTTTATCTTCTTTCAGGTGCATAGGATGTTGTTACATGAAACCATAACTTCAAGTACTGCACAATTACTCTTCATAGTAAATTAAAATTTTCGTGTTAATTTATCTGAGTACTCCCACGTATCGTAGCTTTTAAAATAAAATATAGTTGAGGTTATGGTTTCGTATAGCGACACAGTACTAATTATAATTCAAGCTTATCTGGTTACTCGACACCTATAGTAGGTACATAGAGTAGAGCTCAGCAAAGATTATGAAAACAGCGAAGACATTTTTGATTATTTTACATGCGTGAATCAATATTGTAACACATCAAATATGTAAAAGTATTGATGAATTAGATGTATCTCAGGAGATTAAAAATAATATAATTTTCTAAACTTTTGACATTTTACTACTGATCAGTGCTCATGTTAGTAGTAGTAATAGTAAATGATATATAGATTATTGTATTATTACATAGCATTATCACAAATATTTCAACATTTACATTATAATTGCAATTGCAATTGCATTGCAATTATAATAACTTCTGTTTGTGCGAGAAGCTGTTCTCGAAAGCTCGAAACACCTCAGAAAATTGTTATCCTTAGTAAACCACGGTTGTTTCATTAATTAAATGCGCATGATTGCGGCCGAAACTGCTATAATAATAAGTAAGTGTAAAATTATACACTTTTATAATTGTGTACTTTATTATATTAATGTAAAAGCGTTTTTGTAAACGATGGTATTTCGCATTCACATATGCACTTGAATAATTCGTTATAACAAAAGACAAAAATGATAGAAGCCTTCGAAGGTTAACATAGAGCCAACATACTAAAATTCCTGCAAAGCGTTTGAATAATTTGAATATTTTCGCTGTGATAAAAAAGTAAGTAAATAGATAATTACAGTAAACAACCGTGGTTTTTTAAGAATAACAATTTTCTAAGGAGCTTTTGAGAACAGCCTCTCGTACAAACAGAGGTCGCAATTATAATGTAAATGTTGAAATTTTTGTGATAATGCTTTACTCAATCCTTTAATGTAAAATTGTAATTTACAGTTAAAGAATTGCTTAAAATTACTGTGAAAATAGTTATAAAACAGAAAGGAGATTCAGCGGTTCCGAAATAACTTAATTGTGCACTACTATTATAATTGATAAGTGATAATTATTAATTAGGTTTTTAATGTTCGACCATCCGACTCTCATATCTATTTTTCATCAAAATCAATCAATATAGAATTCACAATTCGAATAAATACAATATAAAAAAATGGTGCAGCATTCAATACATTATATAATTTGTATGGAAAAATAATTAAAACCTGTCATGCCAAGATACAACCTCGTTTGATTCATATTGTCATAATATCACATAAATAATTGCATTTTGTTTAAAGAAAATTATTAAATTTCTTTCCTTTTTTATTACACATATATGTCACATTGTGTACTACATTTAATTAAATAGAATGTTATATATTATATAGCCTATATTTAAGGTGAAATACCGTAGGTAGAATACTCGTGTACCACCAGTAATATGCACAAATCTTAAAAAAAACTGAAATTTGGATAATTAGAATCAGTGAAATATCCAACATGATACACTGATTGTATCAAATCCTTATTATTGAAATATTACATTTTTATACATATTTATTAGGACAATAAATACTAAAATTGGTTATTTTATTACTCAATATTTCAGTTAAAACATTTTTATCGTAATTCTAGATTTTTCTGACGTGAGGAAGATTAGCAAAGCTGTTAAATTATTTAAAAACTTATATAATGTTATTAAAAACGTAAAAATATAATATACTATTTAGTGATAATCTGATAATATTAATATTTATAATTGGTTTTAAGTATACTAATATTTAAAAAAATCATGTCGACATGAAAATATATGTAAAATATATCGCTCACCATTTGAATAATTATACAATCTTGCATATACATATGTTTTAAGAATAAATATTTTCTCATATCCGCCCTTAGTGTACAAACTTGTTCGTGCATGATTGTATTTTTTAAAGAAAATTTTCTCTCCAAATGTCATATAAAAAAGAATTCTTTTAACAAATATCTACGATTAATCTAATATCTAATATCACAACTATTAATCCGAAGGTTTAATCCGTTCTTTATGAAACGTACATAATTACCTCATAAAAATGTATTGACGATGTAATGAATAAAGATACTCTATACTTCTTGCTTACATGTGTAATGATTTAACATTACTGAAAATATGAAAAAACTCCTTTTTATGTTGAAGCGTTTAATATGAATGTATATTACTAAAGAAGTAGTAAAAATTATTATGCAGCCCACGAAAATACTCGTGCGATCCGTAAAGCAATTCAGCAGAGGAACACACGTTAACACATGTTTCGTTTTGGGATAAAAAATAAATCATCACATTCATCAAGTTCTAGCACTTGGAAAAATGTGATCTCGTTACATAACTGGGGTAGAATAGGGAGAGATCCGTAGCACTAGCAGTTCTCCCAAAGGTTTATCTAAAACACTATGCTGTGTCTGATTTTTTCCTTCGCTTCGGTGTTCGTTGGAAAAGTATGGGATGCATCAATTGCACAGGCCAAGATGATAACTTATTCAGAACAGGTATCGAGTACGTGCTATTCACGATGAGAAAATAAATATGACATGAAAATGCACCGCGATAATTCAAATACAGCCGCGCGCGTTCTCCGACAGGGCGGTGGTGGTGAACAGACAGAATGCCTATGTATAGAGTACAGTATATAGTTATAGATGAACCATTGCCGAACAACCGAGCTGAACTAATCTCTCGAATAAATATTCATTTCGAAATATTTTAAACGTGATTATTTAGCGAGTAAGTACAGCAAATACTAAAATGTAATTTTGAGTGACTTTGAAGTAAAATATCCCAAAACACCTGGTTCCATCGCAATACATCATGGACGGCAAACTCCTTTTCAAATAATTTTATATAAGATATAGTGTGGCTCTCAAACACAAGTAAAGCTAAGAATTTGTTAACAACAATATTTGAAAGTAGAGGGAAAAAGATATACAACCAGCTATCACCTTGATTCTTACGATGTTGCTATCAAGAGATAAACAGCAATGCTTGAAAACACATAAAAGCATTTTCTTTCGTTGCTAGTTTTTTTCTATTTATGAGCACTGTTGCTTAGTTTACGAGACCTTAGTATCATTTTTAAGTACGTTATTAAAATGTTTTATAAGATGTATTGTTAATTTTAAGTTAGATTCAACAGTTTTTTATATTACCTTTATAAAAGCTTACTCGTGGGTGGGGTAAAAAGAACCAGCTTAATCTTTATCCTGCCAAAGGTGTAAATAATAAAAAATAGTACATAAAAAAGAAAATTAAGTTAAAAAAACAATAGTACAAAATATAAATTGAATAAAAAG